CCTAACCATGATTTATTAAGATTTTTGATTCTTCTGTCGACCTAACCATGATTTATTAGGATTTTTGATTCTTCTGTCTACCTAACCATGATTTATTAGGATTTTTGATTATGCTGTCAACCTAACAATGATTAGTAGTTGCGTACATAGAGCATACACAAATTAGCAGAACGTTCAAAAGACTTTCGTCTTTTGTTTAATCGTGCATTCAAGTTTGTCTCTATACCATGTCCACCAGGACTGCAGGCTGGTTATGAATGCAAGTTTAGCAACGAACGAGCAGTTTCGCTGGCAGGTGAACAGCCGGGAATACCTGATGTGTGAATTCGCATCGTCGACGCTGTGATGTCGGTCGTAATGCAGAAGTACGGCAACCACAGGTCTTCGATCTGCTTATCCTTGAAGACAACCTCAATGCCCTGGTTGAAGGCACGCCCTAGCACACAGGTACATTGCCATTATCTCATTTGTTACTTAGCCAAGAGATCTGTAATGCAGCTGCACATCCTGCCAGCCAGTCATCTGCCTTAAATGACCTACATACCAACTGGCAGCACTATACAGCCTCATGGCAAAGATATTTATTAATAGCAAAATTAATAAATGCTCAATTGAGATACTGCTAGAATGTAGGATGTTTTCACCAGTCATTTTTGCTAGTGACCTGGTGTGCAAGTTTATGACCACGAAATTATTTGTTTGAAGTTTGACATCACAGGTGCAGTTGATGTGTGACACAGTGATAAGCGCCATGCATGGTGCATGGTCCATTATGGGATTATGCATGGTGCATTATGCAAGGTCCATGCATAAATAACACCATAACAGAATATCATACAATACTTAGACAATTATGTAGAAGGCTACTATTCCTAGCTTGTTTCCAAACCCTATATACATGTCATTACAGTATGTCAAGATATGTAGGAAATGAAATAAGTTCATTGGATTTCTTTGAAACTATGAATTCATATTTATCTTGTGTTAATTCTTGTGTGTAATTTCTTGGATTTAACACTAGATAAATATGAATTCATAGTCAAGATATGTACATTTGCAGGAAATGATTTTAACATACCTGAAAACATGGCTGCGATTGGGTACGTCAGATCTAGGACTTTCTTCCACAAAGAGGTCATGTCATGAGACCATTCTCTAGCTCTCTGTGTAAACCTATTTGATTTCACACACAAGAGAAAATATTACACAAATAACTAAAGCACGATTATTAAATTTACGTAAGATTATGTAAGAGTAATAAATTTGTGCAGTAATTAATCATTTAAGTTTGGAAAGTGTCAGTTCGACAGGTTATAAGACTAGATCACGAACTGACAGCACAGATTTACCAATGATAGGTTTATTATCATGACAACAACACATGTATTACGCACCCCCCTGATGAAATAAACATATTATATTATATATTATGCAGTGGCTACGCGTCCGGTCATCCATTACAAAGCTGATAGGCTTGATAAGCTGATAGTCACGATTAGGCCACGCCCCCTTTCAAATCGTTGATTTTACTGGATTTACTATTGCTTCAAAAGTTAAAAAAAAAATTTTTGATAAAATACCTAAAGGTAAGTAATATTATGGTAAAAATTTATTGTTTATTGTTTTTTAGTGAAAAAATATAGTTGGATTCACATAAGAAATATATGACCGGACACGTAGCATGGGAGCTGGGCGTCCGGTAACCTGGGACGGGACGCGGGAGGCTGTTGGGGATATTAGGCATCGAATTGTATTCAGTGTGTAATGCGTTTCCAGCGTGCTAGAAATAAATGTGTGCTCACGGCGAGCTAGCAGCTGATTTTAGCTGTGTTGCCATCGTGTTCCTGATGATAAGGAAGCGAAACAAGTGCTGTTACTGTGCTTACCTAATATCCCCAACAGCCCCCAGCGTCCCATCAGAGACAATAGAACACTAATCCGATAACAAACGTTGGCCGATAAGATGCAAACGTTTGGGAAAACTGTGTGAAACCGTGTCGTATTCAAAGAACTTTTTTGAAGAACACATACGATTTTCAGGTAAACTGGTGGTGTCATATGATTAAGGGAGAATCCGAGACGAAAACAAGGTAAAGTTTGAATATATTTATTCACATATTGATAGAATAAATTCAAGTTGAAAACTACGCAAAACGCTGTTAAAACAGTGTCATACTCTTCTTCCATTATGTACTCTTGATATATATATATATAATACAGTGTAGCCCCGTTATAACGCGATGGTTGGGGTCCATAATATATCATCGCGAAAAAAGCGAGGTCGCACTAAATCGGGGTTATATATATACGTGGCTATATAAGAGCAAAAAAAGGGGGTCCAACGACTCATCGCGTTATATCCGAATTCGCGTAAAATCGGCGAGCGTAAAATCAGGGTTCCACTGTATATATATATAAACACGCATGCACGCAAGGATTGTACCTTGTCAGGTTTCGCTCCTCGGCCCACAGTCCACCCATGAAGGAGCCGATGCTGGTTCCGCCGACCATGTCGATCGGGATGCCGTACTCACACATGGCCTTGATGATGCCGACGTGAGCGGCGCCGCGCGCGCCGCCGCCGCCGAGGATCAGCCCAACGCTAGTGCCGGTGAGGAATCGCGCGAGACGAGCGAAGTCCGAGTGACGGTCCTGTGGCTTCTTCAGGATGCGCTCGTACATCTCCTTCTGTGAACGTGAACGACGTGCGACGGGTCATACATGGCGTGCACTGATACTAATTATCGCGAAGATGACTCGCTGAAAATCGTTTCTGATTTGATACATATATAAGATCATACAACACTATCAGCAATTAAACAATCTGTAATAATGATAATGATGATTATTATAGTAATAATTATTATTATTATAATGACTGGGAACAGCACACATCCTCCGAAAAATTCTGGATTGAATCCCTATGTCCCAGGTTGGGACACGGTTAACCCAGAAGCCACCGGCTAATGCCGTGATCCACTTTGGAAATAACAATAATAACAATACGAATAATAATGATAATATTATTATTTACAATAACAGTAATGATAATATGGATTACCATCTTGGTCGCGGGTTTCCTGAGGAACATGCGCTTCGGGCAGCGTATGTGGTGGTGTGAGTTGCACCAGTCACGCAGGTTCAGCCACTCAGCAGTGCGGGCGGGGCTCACTGCATCCCCCCCATGCAGGATGACCAGCTCCTTCTGCGCTCGCATCCCCGCGTGACTCATCTGCGACTCAAGCTGCGACGGAAACGACGGCACACTTGGTTTTTATTACGCGATTTTTCCTCAGAAACGCTCAATCGGAAAAAAAATAGCGAAATACAGTCTCACCTCACAGCGGATATATAACCGATTACACTAACTTGAAAAACAGTAAGATTTCCTGTTGAAAAGTTGACGCGTTGATCATAAACTTTTCAACGTTCTAACTACCTTTCTATGAGATGTTCAAAGTTTTTACGTTATCGACCGCGAGTCGGCAAACGTTCCAGCATTTCACCCGCAGTGTGTGCTCGGGGTGATGTGGATATGCATTTTTGCACCTATAAATTCGCAACAGGTGTAGGCCCTGATAGCAAAAACGCAGACGGAAATAATTTCCCCCTGGGTGGAGGGACACACCTCCCGATTGCTATTATTCAAGAGGCTGAGTGGCAAACAGTTGCTAAACTCGTTGACCAAAATAGAACACGTTCTAATCGCTTAACTTTTACGTTTACACTGCTGACTAAGTTTATCAACTTGTCAACTTGTCAACAGAAAGTTGATCATGTAAACCCAGCTTTAGATGGTATACTGAATACGTGCGTGTATGTGTGTTTGTTTAGATGTCTATGTAGATATATAATCAAATCAGATGCTTTTAAATGAATATTCGAAAAGATTTATATGCAAACAATCCATTTCATAATGTAATAGCTATTTAGATTAAGCAAGGCCATGTAATACAGGCTTCCAAGGACAGTAGGCAATGTGGAAGTTCGTCAAATTCATTAAATTATCGTGGCGATTCCATACATGTAGCAAGCAGTATCGATATATATATATATATAGAGTTAACCCAGTGTTAACCCAGAGTTAGCTCGCACTTCTATAGAACCAACACCTGTCTATAAAAAGCACTCACGATGTTTCCCTAATGTGGTAACAGGGTGCGAAATTAACGCGAGTCCGGAGTCAAATACTCCCTGATTTGACATATGCAGGAGTCCGTGTGACTCCCTGAAAATTCTGCTGCATACTAACTAGTTCGTTCCAGAGCACGGCCTCGCGGAATTAGCGTGTTTTTTCAGCAAATGTCCAAAGAAAATTTGGCAGACGTGCAACCGCATGAATCTTCAAAATAAGCACATGCGTTATTTAGTTTGCATCTTTAGTTTTAAACTCCCTCTTTTTGAGAGCAGGGAGTCCGCTGGACTCCCTTGTTCAAAAGTTAATTTCTCCCCCTGTGGTAAGCTATACAGTTAAACTACTTCTACACAAAGAATGCCTGTCTCCAAAGAACACCTTTTGGGGTTCCCCTTGAGTAACCCTTATACACAGGTTTGATTGCATACCTTTGCGACGATGGGTTCCTGGTCGGCGAGGGCAACGATGAGGATGCAGTCAGCGTGTCGTATGCATCGCTGCGTCCACGGCGTCACGCGATAGTCACACTGGTAGATCACCATGCTGTGCATATCGTCCTGCTGAGCCAGCCAGCTCGACAGGTGGTAGTCGTAGATGCTAGCGATGGCAACACAATGCAATATAAAGCAACAGGAGACAACATGAAGCAACACAATTCAACATGAAGCAACACGGGACAAAATGAAGCAACACGATGCATAGTAATGCAATTTTACACCTTGATGAATGCCTTGCTAGAAGAAGAAGAGTACTAATTTTGAAATAGATTTGACAGCAAAGGTAAATCGTTTCCAGATTGGTGCAGCTGTTATGGGTTTAAATTTTGGCAACCATAAACTGAATTGTCCTATACCAATACTGAATTTCAAAACCAAGATAGCATGTGGTCAAAAACATAAAATATTTCCTTTTCATTCAGAAAACTTCCTTCACAGAGTATTTTCATAAATAATCCAAAACATTTCAATACAATTAATCACAGAATAGTGAAGCTAAACCTGATCTTGACATGATTTTGAAAATTCAATCGTGTTACAGCCAAGTAGATATGTTTGTAGTTAAGCATGATTTTAATGGGTCTTCTCCCAGAATAGGAACATTCTGTGTTCTATAATTAGAGTTGCCTGCCACCATGTTTGATGATTGCTCGATTAGATTTACTGAGTATGATTTATTACATACCTATCTAATGCACTGGCACCAAGTGATGACCTCACTGTGTCACTTGTCAGCCTCAACACAGAACCTGAAATGTACAAATAATTTACAAATAATTTAATCTATAAATTTAAAATAATTATATATAATTAATACTGTCCATTGCTTACTATTCTAATACGTGAGTTAAGATAACACATTGGATATAAGCTAAGCATTGTCAAATTAAGGGATATTGACAGCACGCAATCACACATCTCTCTCGTAATTATTCTTTCACAAGGTTTTTTTAACGAGAAAGATAAGGACTTGTACGTAAATGTTTCACGAGTGCTTTACCTATTGCTTCGACAAAATGTGTGAGCTCTAGCGTGAACGATTCTAATGGAACGTCATCTGACACAGGTAACACTGCTACCGTAGAAAGATTGCCAAATGCAGACTTTGGCTCGACCACGCCTTCCCCTAGAGGGCGTTGCAGGCTAGTGAGAACACGCTGGCCAAGCAAGTGCATCAGTCGTGACACTACCTGTTGGGAAAGACCATTTTACAAGTCAATGTCCGCCTCACTAACATTTAAATTAAAGCTAAACACAAAATATTGCAGTAACAATACGTGACATACATGGCGAAATATGAATGTCATATAATAATAATAACCATACACGACACACAAGCTCACATCACCTTTGGTGATTTTTACCTGCGGATATTTGCGCTTGATTAGGTTTAGAAGGCCATCTGGGAGTTTGGCTAGCTCAGTGTCTCTAACTGCCATCAGAGTTGTAGTTCTAGGTGTCTGCGTGAGAACCTCCACCTATAATATGCAAAACCAACATTGTCATCGGCAAGGAAATCAGCACGTTTTTCTTCGACTGACACACAAAAGGATATGTGGTATTCAGTGCATGAAATTAGCGCCATTTTGCAAGCAGCCGCCCCCTAAACCGCCGGTTCAACCCCCCATATAATCAGTCCACTTGGCCTATTAAAAATGTTATGCCTTGCCTTTATCTCAACAATATTGACCAATTTCCTGACTAGTTTTTACTTCACTAAGACTCTACTCTACTTCTTAATACAAACTGTGCAAATAAATACTATGAGTGCGCCTAATAAACACAAAGCTAATACTTTTATTAATAACGGAATAAATTGAACAAAATTAAGAGCCCCGTTCAAACTTGTAAGGGCCTGTTCAATTTATCTAAGCGCCTGTTCACATTTTGGCTAATTTCATGCCCTGGGTATTACAAACAATATTGCTGCTGGGTTATGGATAAAAGGGTGTGACATAGAAGAGATGCACGTACGACACCGACTAACTCTCCACGACCAAACTCCTCGATAATGTCTTTCTTCGTATTTGGTCGGGTGATGATGGATCTAAGGCGACCGCTTAGCAGTATGTAGACGGATTCAGAGCTGTCGTCTTGCCTGCACGAAACCAAAGAACCTCTGTGTATAGATCAACGCTACGGCACAAGTGGGCATCTACTCGGGATTATGTATTTCTGTGCTCTTACGGTAGCTAACATGAATGAATTTGTGAACAAAAGTGGCCGCATAGATAACTAAACGTAACAAGAGCAATCGGAGATAGCAAACCTAAGCCACAGCGTAACATTCCCACGATCTTGCTGGTACACCCAATATAGTTTGATGAAATTTTCAGAAATTTGAAAAAAAAGATCCATGAGTTTTTTTTAATGTATTTTGAATGCGTCCTTCCCCACGTCCCATGCGTCCTTTTGAATGAAGACTTCCTTCCCCACAAAAAAATGGGAAAAAAATTCTGGATCCAGAAAACGCCCAAGACCAACCCGTTCAAAAAATTCCATCAAAATCCGTCCATAACTTTTTGAGATATCCTGTTCACAGACAAACAAACCCACAAGCAAACCAACAGACTATAACAGGGGCGAAAACATAACCTCCTTGGCGGCAGTAACCAGATAACTAATAACAAAGATAACTAAACGTAACAAGGTACATGTACACGAAACAGGCACCACTCCACTAACCTGTAGACAGCTCTGCCTGCTTCCACCTGAATCCAATCTAATGCAAAGTCGATGGATCGGACAAAGGGTGATAAACGCTGCACAATGCTATGTGCAATACACAGCACGACTTTAGGATGATCTCGCATGACACTGAAAGCGAAAAACCATAACTAAATTGCAAACTTTACATAAATACGATAATCTTTAAGTAATCTTAACCCACTTTAATTGAGAATGAAATGAAATTAACTCATGCACTTTTGATGTGAATCCCTTGCTTTTCATTATTATGTCTTGCATTATATATATATATATTATATATATACTTCAAAATGTAATGCAACAGAGACATTAATACATGTGATGTCCTTGCACTTACTCGTAAACGTCAGACTTAGAGATGACCACCAGGTGGCTGCTCTGTCTGGCGCGTATGCTAAACATGGACGCCTCTCCAGTGAGCACGCTCAGAGTTCCGACAATCTCACCGGGATATGCCCTAAACAGCAGTGACTAGAGAACGAAAACACGTATACAGCATCAGATCCGCTCAACCGTCAACCGCCGCTCCAAGATCACAGAAACCTTCAGTGAAAAACATGAATTCAGTTGTAATATTACTGTTAGTCATAATGATTCCTACAATGATTATTACACCACTAATCATTATTGCAATACTTTGTCAATGGCGCGCTGAGAACTGACAACTCAATTCAGTGCCTGAAAGCAATCATATGTAGGTTCCACTCGCTAACATTCAGCTAAAGCAAGCTGAACACGCTTCTGTACAAGGCAACGATTGGAATATGGCAAGGAAGTTGAGAACTAAAGTCCTAGGCGGGCAGACCTGGCGATTTTTGTGTTGCTCATACGCTGCAACTGCAACCGGCAGAGCGATCGGTCGAGCGTGTCACCCGCGTGTGCCGCACTTACGCGATTGATCGAAGGGAAAGAAAAAAAAAAAAGAAGTAATAAAAAAACCAATTCTAGGAGCAATTTGGGAGCGATTGCGGACGACGAGTCGCTTCACATCACAACAGTCTTGATATTCTTGGCAACTCGTCGCAAGCGACCATAGAATCGCTACGGTTGCAGGGACGCACAGTTCGCCGAGGACGTGAGCGAATCTCTACAGCCAACAATTTTTTTAGTTTACAGCCGATTCTAGAATCCGCCTTGTCAAGTTGCATGAAATGAATAGTGTCAATGACACTATAGTCTCACCTTGGGCGTGTGATAGACGAGGGAGATGATATTATAAAATTTGGTATGTGTTTCCATTTATGAGAGACGCAAAATGTGATCAAAGTCCTATTCCCTGTTTTATACCTAATAGAAAATTTTACTAGTTTTGTTTCAGGGCTTATTTTGATCGCGAAAATAAATGTTTTCAGACATCTGAAAAATCTGAAATTCTGGGGCGAGACTGCGCGCTACGCCGTAAATGATCCATATAAACCCCCCCCATAGTACGATAAATGACTGCCAATTTTGGTTTTTGATATCGGTAAATAAAAGTAATAAAATATTTCCATCAAATTAGCTGTAACAAAGAATCTAAACAACCAGATATACAAGTACTTGACGTACGTATGATCTAGGTAGGTAGGTGAGGCTAAATTTACACAAAATCGAAATAAATCTAGATGGCATTTCTTTTTGCTAAAAAAGTTGGCGTGGCTCGCAAAGTAAGTCGATCTGGCGTGCCTCAAAATAGGACGTATCATATCTTCTCCATAGGAGTGAGAACAACTGTATGCAGATTTGAACATGTGGGCTCAACGTGGTTCTCAATGTTATCGTTGACTGGTAGCCAAATGTTGACGAACAGGACAGGACAGACGGACGGAACGACAATGGCCCACGCATGACAATAGCTCACGTCTGCGCTAGGCTTAACGCTAAGAGACACCAAGTTTTCTGTTGACGGCATTACCTCGGCATGTTCTTTGTCGATGACTTTCTGTGAGACCTGCAGGGAACCGGTGACAACAAAATAGAGACTCGCATCGACTTCGTTCTGTCTACACAGCACCTTGCCCGTGCTAACCTGGATGAGCCGTAGTCGCCCTTCAAACACCTTCTCGTCCTGTCAAGGTCACAGAGAACTGCATACGCTGTATATTTCGCGGTGGTTTAATTTTCGCGAATTTCGCGAACGCGTCCCCGACCGCGAAAATAACAACACGCGAATAATTCATACCGAATAATACCAAATAATTCATAATTGACCGACCGCGAAATTAACTACTTGCGAAATTGTCCGTCAAGTCTGAATTCGCGAAAAATATGGCGTATACAGTATTCAGAATTAGCATGTCTGGTTTGTGGCTTGCAATTTAGCACCAACTAGTGCTATCACAACATGCGCAACGCAATGCTGCATCAAGGGCGTAGCCAGGAATTTGGATTGGAGGAGTCCTCGAGCGAGTAACAAGGGGGTCTAAAAAAAAAATTTGAGTTAAATGTAAAAATAGTGCTATAAAATCAATTTAGACGCTGTTTTGTTGACAATACTATTTCTTCTGCAGCTCTACAACGACACCTAACCCGACCATGCTGTGTGACTAACGTCAATATACACAGCCTGCTGCCTGACATTGGACATCCATCCATTGGATAATCCTTTTTTTTTAATTTAATTTTATTTTGCTTTTGATTGAGGGTCCTAGAGCCCCCAGGACCCCCCCCCCTGGCTACGCACTTGTGCTGCATAGATAACTCTCTAATCACACGCCATCCACTAGCTGCAGTCTCAACATATAAATGACCCGCCAGACAACGACTACACTTTCCACACATTATGTTACAACCGCCAACCATCATCTACAACCGCCACACACGTAAGTACTACTCTCTGTAGGCCACCTTATCGCTGCACACGCTGCATAAACACGTCACACACAAACCGGCGAGGCCGCGTGACACCGGTAATAACCAGGGTATTAGCCAGGAATGAGTATTGTGGGAGTGCAGAAAAAATATTTGAGAGTGCAATTTTTTTGTGTCTCAGCCAAGACCGCCATAGACGTTCACGGGGGGAGAGAGTATGAGGGGGTCCAGAAATCTGCTTAATTTTTAAATTTTTTTGGCCGTGCAGTTTCAAAACTGACTCGCTGGCTAATACGTTGGCGATTACCACACGAGACCAAGTGATACGTGCCGCCGCGACAGTGCGCGCGTAAGACTTACGTCGATGTGCAACAGACGCTTGAGGTCTTCCACGGCTAGCTGCAGCATGCGCGCGTCCTCGCTCTTCTTTGCGCGCACTGCCTCGAGAATCATTTCGCTCGAGTGTCGGCCCTCGATCACCTCCTCCGGAGTCGTGCTCCACGACACCTTCCTCTTTGTCCTCGCCTTCCCCTCCCCGCCGCTGTCGCTGCCGCCAAGCCGCCTCACCGGGAGGCTCAAGTTCTGCAAGAACACACAAAGAAGAGTTTTATTTTATTTTATTTTATTATTTAATAATTTGTTTTCCCAATTTTTTATTAATTTTTTATTAATTTTTTTTTAAATTAATGATCTTTATTTCCAGAAGTACATATATGTACAGAAAACAGAGAAAAAAGAAGAGTTAGTAGACTACAGGTGTTCTGTTCCTGTCGCCTGCTATTGCTTTGTTTTACAGCAGCCGGTAGGTATAGGCTCGAATACTACAAGAACACAAGAACGACAGCACATGAATGTAGCACTAGGTGTGAATTTGAAGGGAAATGCCAAAAGCTTCCTTGATAGACAGGTACCTGTTCTATATAATACAGGTGAACACTAACACAGGATGAACTGTACACTATGTTATCGATCATTCTACTGCTTTCTTAACATTTCGCAGCAGGGAAGATCTTACTCAGGCCAAACAAAAAAATAGGTGTCTTTCCGGTCGACCGACCATCCCTAGATTATTAGGGCCGACCCTAAACTTTCCCCCAAAAAAAAAGATTTTTTAATTTGCAATCAAAACTTGGAATCCTATTTATAACCTGTAAGATGTCGAATTAGCAAACACCTGTAGAATTGTATTAAAAAAATAAAATAAATATAATTCCCTACCTACCTACCCTACTTTTGTTTTCGATGCAATAGGAAACACACCTTTTTTTTTTTTGCCTCATCATTATAGCTAGTGTCCCAGCCTTTACATCCTTGGTTGTTTTACCTGCATGTGTAACTATATATACATACTACTAAATCTAAAACATTAAGCACAAATTTAATGCACACTTGATCTTTTCATGGACTAGTTGTTGCAACTGCGAACATATACGCTAAGCAGGCATCGGAAGAGATGAAATTCACATCTTTTCCACATCTTTTTCACAGCATTTACTCACTCTTTCCAACTTTTTGCCTTCGTGAAAATCTGTCGAGGACTGGGATAGATTTCTTTCTGTGGAGTACACACGAGCCCTCTCGCAGGCAGCATTAAACTCCTCTTCATTGTCTAAACAAATAACAATGTACGTTAGCACACATAAAACACGTGCCGACCAGGTAATGCACCTCATTTATCTATGAACTGGCAGTCACTGAGGTTTAAATAATATTTATTATTATTTTATTTAATATACACCAATATATATTTGTATAAATGTTATATTTAATTAATATAATATAATTATGAAATTATGTAAATAATGTTTATAGATGGCACATTTCAGAGGCAAATCCCGAATGCTAAAAGGGAGTGGTCTAGTGAATCTGCTGCGAAGGGTGGGGTGTTTGGAGCAGAAACCCACCTACAAATTTCTTTAATGAATATGGTTAGCATTCGTCAGATTATGACTATAGAATTTCTACTTTAAAGCAATTTGTTCAATTTTGTGAGATTGCCACACATTTGAAAAATATAGCCTGACTATAGAATTTATACTTAAATGCAATTTGTTCAATTTTGTGAGATTGCCACACATTGGAAAAATCGAGCCTGGAGTCACGGAAGCAGTGCATCAGTTTGACATCCATGTCTGCCTGTATCATCCATCTCTAGATGCAGCTTGCCTGCCTGCATCAGCTGCACATGCACACGGATCGCAATCATAAGGGGCCCGCGGGCCCGATGCCCATATTTTAAGGCTCAGGCCTGACATTTCTAATACTAGCAAGCCCGTTGGGCCCGTATAAAATTCACCCCAGCATGCTGCGGTATCCGGGGAATGATGCGGGCTTGTAATTTGCCTGGCAGGCCTGTAAAATCCCTTACCTACAGACCCGGCTGGCCTGTAAAATCTCTTACCTACAGGCCCGGCTGGCCTGTAAATTTTCAAACTAATTTCTACCCCTGCACGCACATACCGCGCTTGCTGTCAGCCGTGTCCGCTTCACTCGAGCTGTACATGTTCGTGACGTTGATGACACGTTCGCTGTCACTGCCCGACGACGGGTACGCTCTCTCGTCCTCCTCCGACATAGCTGGGTGCCGAGTAGGTGGCCTCCCTCGCGCCGTCGACGCCCCCGCTGCCGGAATCCTGTTGTCGGCGAGCGATTGTACGGAGAATGTCTGTGACGAACCCTCCTGTAGTAAGACATGGTTCGGGTGAGCAGGAGCTATGGAAGACGTATGTGTCTGCAGGTCTCCCACACACGCACACACGCACGCATGCACGCACGCACGCACGCACGCACGCACGCACACACACACACACACACACACACGGACGCACAACACACATGCATGCACACACGCACACACACGGATGCACAACACACATGCATGCACGCACGCACAACGCACGCACGCACGTGCACACACACAAACAAGTATGCACGCACACACGCACACACGCACACACGCGCACGCACAACACGCCACACACATGCTCGAACAACACACACAAACACCACGCCCGCACGCACAACACCGCACGCACAACACCCACACGCCAAACATCACGCACGCACGCACGCTCGCACGCACGCACGCACACACACGTCATTACATGTACCACGTGGATTCAACAGAGGTACAGGTCACCCATTCTTTAGACTCTGAGTGATCAAATCTCGATAATGGAGACGAGAAAGAAGAGGAGAGGCACGGAGAGGAGAAGAAAAGAGAGGTGAGGATAGGAGAAGTGAAGAAAAGATAGGAGAGCAGAAGGAAGGAGGACAGATAAAGAGAGAAGAAGAAGGGCGAAGGGCAGTGTAGACAGTGAGAGAGTGGGGAGGGAGAGAGAGGAAGAGACAGATAAAAAGAGAGACAATGACAAAGAGAAGAGACGGAGAAACAGATACAGAGAGAGAGAAAGAGAGAGAAGAAGAGAAGGGAGCAGGGGCGAGGTAAGAAGGAGAAGAAAGATGAGAAGAGAAGGCGCAGTAAGGAAAAGAGATAGGAGAGAAGAGAAGGAAGCAGAAGTGAGGAGAAAAAGGGAAAAGAGAAGATAACAGAACGAGAAAGAAAGGAAGGAACAGAGAATCGAGCATGCAAGCGAAAGGAGAGAACAAAAAAGAGAAGGGAGGCCAGGACCGAGGATATAATGAGGAGAGGAGAAGGAAGCAGGGACGAGGAATAATGAAGAGGAAGAGAAGGGAGCCAGGGCGAGGAATAATGAGGAGAAAGAGAAAAGAAGCCAGCGACTCCTAGCTAGTCAGCTACATACAGGGTTGATGAGCTCCGCGCTCAGGCCGAGGTAGTGTGCAGCCGCGTGAGGTGACGCCGCAGCCGAATCATGATGATCTGCACGATGCGCACGAGCGAGCCAGGGTACTGCTTCAGGATCTCACTGAACGCCGACACAGGAAGCCGGATGAACCGTCGTTCGCCTCGAGCGCAGCGCCCGCGCCGACACTGTCCCTTGTACGGCGCCTCGTAGCCCTGCGAGAGACAGCACACGTATGGTGTCCTCATGCTCCCACTTTTGCTATACGGAGACTCCGCCCGACTTACGAACATTCGAGTTACGAACTTTCGATGATACGAACAATTTGCCCTGAATCCATTTAGTGTATAATGTCTATTGGTGATAAAACGACACAATCCCCCTGATTTGACTTTCGCCGCGAACTCCTGTGTTCACGTATATGTTACACTAATGTACACTCTAAGGTTACTCGCTGTTACACGTACATATACTACACATACTGTAACCATACTGTATCACGTACGTACATATGTCGACTACGAACGATCGACTTACGCAACGACCGCTCGAACCGACGTGTTCGTAAGTCGGGGAGATCTCTGTACATCCTGTTACAGTGTTTTCGCCCCGCATAGACACGAGTGAGGCGGGCCGTCTCACATCAAATTCTCAGCCGCCGACAACGGAAATTTGTCCAAAAACACTCGCCGCCTCGCTGACAAAAACCATCTGTTCTCCATAGAACAGGCTTATAAATGCACCAATTGCACCATTTTTTTCCAAAAATTTCCAAGAAGGCATACCCCTGGGCCCACCCTAGGCTGTGTTTGCTAAACCTCGAAATGCGCAAACACACCGAATTTTTCCACGCTTACAGACAGGTCAGGAAACACTGCGGTTGACATGTTTTATGGCGTTTAAGTCCTACTGACACTGCCGTGTATGTCACATTACGCAGCAACGTGGGTGAATGTGTGATATTGCTCGCACTTTTGCTATGTACCCCACATTCCCACTACACTTATATATGGTCGCCTCCCTCAAACCATTGTAACAAGCGCCAACATCAATGTACCGCTAGGTGCGTTGCGGCAATCTGGACGAGTGAATGCTTGTATTTGCTATTCCCCTATTACGTGGTTCAATGTGTATTCTAACGGGAGAGAGACTTCGTATCTCAATGTCGACTCTCTTTAGGAAAAACAGGAGGCATAATCCTGCTGAATATGCGCAAAAACAATTGTTACTACAGTAAGAAGTCCAAAAATCCAGATGCCAGAAATCCGGACCCACCCCAGAACGCCGGACTTTTTCGAGAACGATCAAACTTTTTAAATTTAGCCAGCCTTTTGTACGGTTGACGCCGCCGTAACAAAATCTATGTTCCACTTTTTGTCAAGTGTGACTTTCATTTTCTTAAAACTGCTCGTTTTAATAAAGAAGCAGCTCATTTGCTAAGTTTGTAAACTATCAAATTTACACTGCGGCGCTGTTTCACAACGTCCGTTCCTATATCTCCGCTACGTCCCGAGTTATCAGCTCAATAGCGAGGAATTTTCACGAACGTCCGTCGCTATCTTTGCTCCGCTATCTCCCGGCAGTTGTCGCGCTAAATAGCGACGGACACGTTTCACCGAACGTTCCTCTAACTATTTTCTCAGCTATCTCTCCGCTATGCTTCCCGAGTTGTCCGCTAAATAAGCGGAAGACGCATTCACGAACGTCTGCTCCCTAAAGTCCTCGCTATTACCCGCATTTAAGCGGAGCTCTGCACGTCCCGCCCTAATTTAGCCGGAGTCACTCTATTGTGTAATAATACCCATAAAAATACAAAATCGCACGTAACTACCATAAATAAAGCTTTTGCGTAACAAAAAATAATCTGCGGTTTGTTATGCAGTATTATTGCACCTAAAAAAACTGTTTCAATCTACAATAAAAAATATGAACAACGTTGTGGTTTAACGACTGTTCAATAGTTACCATGTATTGTGGTTATTGACAGCAACCGTTTTACCCAGACGCGCCCTTGTCCTGTACCCTAGTTACCCCGGCCAAGGAGGTAATGTAATTCGTCTTGTGTGTGTGTTCGTGTTGTGTGTAGCGTTGGCACGCGACGATTCAGCAAGCACTCGCCTTCAGGCATCCAGTCCAGCAGCAGCCACGCATGAGCCAAGCTGTTAACACATACATGTTACACCTCGCAGAGGTATGCACTTTCCGTGAGTGCCCTCTGTCTCAAGTTTTGTAAACTGCGTGGTTGTCAGGCGTCAAACCCGCATTAGTACTCACCACGTTTAGCCGACCCACCCGAGTTGCTGAGCCGTGGTATCGATGATACAGTAATGCACGTGTACGTGTACGCAGTAATTCACAGTAAAAACTAAAACCACTTACAACCAAGCATAAGCACATTTTCGTGTAAACCTCTCATGGTCAACCGCCATAAGCTGCGAGCACGTATGTGTAGCGCAGAAACAATGGCCAGAAGACTTTAGTTTTTTTATTCTATAAAGCTTATAAATATGAGAACATCAAGAAGACATTCTGAGATAGAGAAAGGAACTGAAGAGACCAGAACATATCGCGTTTTGATACATACAACAACACTAAAATCAATCGCCCTGATACTGATTGGCCTAGCCATGTCGTTGCTCGAATCTAGTAGATCAACTGTGAAGAAGAGCTCTCGCCCAGGCACAGTGAGATCATAGAGCCATATCTACTCTAAACTAAGCATTCGCAAACGGCTTGCGATACACTGGGAATACACAATACACGCTAGCGACTAACCATCTGGCGCGAGAGACCTTCATGAACCTTCCAGATAAGGAGCCTGTGCGTGATGTTTTGTGGTATATATTGCTTTGATTACTACACGTTTGTAGTTATCGCCAGCTGACTGCCAGCTTTCTTCTCTAATGAGCGGAGGCTTAGGCAAGCATTTGGTGCAACAAAGTTTTGTCCTTCCGCTAAGTTCTCCGTTATGCACTCCATTTGCCTAAATACGAACAGACAACTTCGCGGACAACTTTAGCGGACTTAGTGAAACGCGTCCCCTGTTCATTCTTTTCTTTATTCTTCCTCAAATTGAATTTTTAAAGTAGGCAGTTCAGTGCTGCCTGAAAATCCAGAAAAATCTAAAAATCCGATTAACGCAATGCCTGAGCAGTCCTGGATTTCGGACCTTCTACTGTAGTATAATATACAAGACCAGAAACCCAATAATATAAAAACTGTCACATATTACACACCAACACGTAGATATGCTCTTTTTCATGAAAAGTAATACATCAAAGCTCGATTATCCAAACGAAAAGGCGCGGAGTATTTTCCTTCGATAACGATTTTTCGATATCGGTGTCTAGTCGGCTTATTAAATATTCAGACCCTTGAGATCTGTTCGATAATCGATATTCGATCAATGAGCGTTCTGACGTAACATACCCTTACATCACCACAAACCTTTCAGTTTCCGGACGAGCAAAAAAAAGGTAAAATGACTCATCACATCATATCCGAATTCGTTTAATCGGGGTGAGGTAAAATCGGGGGTTCCACTGTCATCGTTTACTCACTGTTAACACAGTCGATGATAGACAGCAACCTCTGAATGCTAATCCCTGCCGCACCTCTTTCACGACTACTCTGTTGCCATCCTTGAATAACAAATTATTTGGGTAATACAATTCCATACCCTATAGATGTTCAAACCCACACACCATGCAACGGAACCGCACAGCCCCGCTACGCGCGCATCGCACGCACTCCGCCGTGCACCGGCACGCACCGCACACTTCCCGCACGCACGCACGAGCACCACGCTACG